CCTGCAGGCCGAAGCGGCAGTCGAAGCCGTCCTCGGATGAGGGTTACTGGGATTGTAGCGTCTGCACCTTCCGGAACAGCGCCGAGGCCTTCAAGTGCATGATGTGCGATGTGCGGAAGGGCACCTCCACCCGGTGAGTCCCGGGCCTGCCCCGCCGACCGGGTCGCGGCGCCGAGGACGCCCCTGCGGCGGCCGCCCCTCCCGTGACACTAGCGGACCTGGCGGGCCGAGCGCGAGCGAGGTGGTGGCCGCGATAGGAACTGGGTCAGATTGGTCGCAACCCAAGCGATGGTTTGCGGTGATGGGTAATTGAGGAGGCGGTAAGGTTTTTCCGCTGCCTGGAGAGACTACATTATTTAAGGGAGGCATTAGCTACTGCGCTTTAAATTCGTATCGCTGGGTGTAATGCCACCCCCCCACCCTCCCCAGCACACACTCCGGATGTAATAATGTTGGCTGCATTGTTGTGTTAGTGTAGGAATCAAAAACCGTGAAACCCTCTTCAAGAGCAAAAGATGTAATTTAATTTCGTCCTCAAAAAAGTATCTGATTATAGAATACATAGTAGATTAGGCTTCTTTTATATACAGACATGTGGAAGGGTCAGATTAGGGTTCCGTGTAGTGTTTCTATTCTAATTATCTAATATTTTATAGGTAAATAGTTGGAGGGGAACTCAGTCACAGGGACACATTTTTACTGAAAGTATCTGAATATCTTTAGTTTGATTAAATGGCAATCCATTAGACTGTATAAATGAGATAAAATGATCTCTGCCTACTTTCAGTCTTTTATTGTAAGCTTACAGCACGATAACTCAGTCTTTAAAAAAAAAAGACAAACCACTTAAGTGAATTAAGTGGATAAAGAAAATCATTTGGGAAATTCAAAGTCAGAAGCATGCTTAGTCTGCCAGCACTTAGTTACTGTGATTTATAGCATAATATTTAGATGACATATATATTTTGATTAAAGTCTGTTAGAAACTAAATTATCACAAGTATACTAATATGATATAATGTTTTTTAAAAGGGCTATACAATGTTAATATTACAGTAGTATATTCAGTAGAAGTTAGATTTCTAAAAATGAGATATCCAGATTTTAAAACACCATTTTATAGCATTTTATTAAATGTTTTAAAATGTAGAGATAGAAATGATTGTCAATAGCCTGAAATTTTTAAGATTTGCTTAATGAGGCTAGCTGCTTTTGACATATCCCTCTTTTTGTAAACCATAATATGCTTTTTGTATATTAATTCCCATTTACGTTGGGTAAACTACTTTGAACATTTTCGTGATGTCCTTTAAAAAGTAAACTTTCAAACATCTGCTAAATTCAAGGAAACAGAACATTCTAAAGAGAAAAAAGTGCCATTTGCTAAAATGAATGTGGTAACTATTTTTGGACCCGTGATTTAAGTATTTTGAAAAGCAAAGTATCTTTATATCTTTATGTCTATATAAGATTGGATTTAGTTTAGATTGTATTTGTATATCTATGTTAGTACTTTGTACTTTTTACAATGCTCAATAAGCAATTTTCAGAAAAATTTTTTGGGAGGCAGGAACTTTAACGTGGAGACAATTACTGTAATCAATATCTGGTACGATATTGTTGCTTTTTGTTGTTCCTTCTCTATTTTCTTGTAGCCATTAGAAAAATACTGAAACTAGAAGAGCCTATATGTTTATTTGCAGGGACAGCAAGGAAGGGGGGAAGCTGGTGTCCTACTCCACAGCCAGTCTTGGGGTTAGAGGAACCCTGAGAAATAGAGTAGGTGGTGGCAGCTCAGAAGAGGAGAAACAGGCCGAATACCTGGCACCTGGAAGAAGAAGGAATATAGTGCACAGGGGAGTTGGCCCAGGACAGAGAAGTGGGCCTAGTTTAAAAGAGGCTTGAGGCCCACGTGGGGGCCCCTGACATTTTTTACCAGTACATCTGAGCTCTTATAGATCCAATTTTTAGTGGTGGAAACATTACTTGAGGAGGACTCAGAGAAGCATTGTCATTTGGATTGAAACTGAAGAGGCTCTGGGCAACTCACCAGAAGTCTAAGGGACACTCTGTTCCTAAAAGTAAGTGTTCTACACTACGACCCTCTCAGCTTCTTCCTTCCTCTCTCTGAATTGTCTCTTCTCTTTTGATTTCGGCCCTAAGTTAAACCTAAGAGCTCTAATTTCTCTGTTGTCTTGTTATTTTTCTCCCGCTGTTTCCGAAATTCAGAGTGGAATCCACGTTTGGGTAGAACAATGGAACAGGGCATTGTTAATAAGGCAGATATTGATTGCACCACAAAATATTTTCCTCCCTGGTAATGTTAGAAAAACAGGATTAAAAGATCACATAACACTCTTGAGAAGCAAAAGTTTCAGCAGTTGGAAGAAATAATTCTCTATGACTGACGTGTTAATTAGCAGTGAGGGTAATTTCAAGGATAAGGTTGGCGATTACCCAAGCAGGGACTGGGTAGCTGCAGAGCAGAAGGATGCAGTTTGCTAACAACTTGTTTGCATAACCGAGAGAGACGGAACTTGAATCCCTTGGGTCAGAATGACCTTTGAACTGATTCTGTCTTAGTCGCCAATGTGAGGCCAAGTCTAAGCCATCCCAGACATTTGAACAGTCTTTTCTTTTTAAACCTACGCAGAAGTTGAAGGTTTAAAAATGGTCTCCCTTTAAAGTCTTCCTGATTTTTTTTTGTTGTTGTTGTTTAAAGAATATCTAGCTGAAATCCTTTACATTGCAGCGGAAGACCATTTTCATCGGCAATATCCCTGGTAGGTCATGTTTTTCTGCAGAGTAACTGTATGGAATGAAGTGAGATTATATTTGTAGCAGTATTTCAGAATGAAATACGGTTTCAAGCAGCTTCAATTCCTGAATTGATACATTATATTCTTTAAATGTATGCCATTTCTACGACTGAACTTCAGTTTTGCACTTGCTGGCCTTAATTAGTTTAAATTTGATTAATCTTTTAAAAAATTCAGACTCTAAATAACTAGATAGTTCAAGTACTGGAAGTTTTCTACATTGTGCTTTTGTGACAGGATCAATGAATGATAAATGTGAAACCGACAGGAAAGATGTAAAAAAGAAAAAATTACAGTGACAATTATTGTCAAAGGTGCTACACAGTTTCCTTCATCTTTTATATTTCAAATTCTTTTAAAGCAATTGTGTCTCAGATATAAACCTAAGAAACTTTAAGAAATAAAGAACCATTCTGAATCATTGGAGAAAAATATTTAGTATAGTGTGTGAGTAGCACAATCAATGTATGAAGATTGAGTTAGACTGGTGTCTTACTGCCACTTCTTCATATAAGAATGTAAATAAATGCTTAATTCAGAAAGCAGACATTTAAAAATGAAAATGATAATGCTGTTTGTTTTGGTTTTGAACTGTGATTTAAATGAGAATATAAAAACACCTAGTCTGGAGCAGGCTTAAAAATGTAATTTCAAGTGTAACAGGTAGTAGTATATTTTCTCAGGGTAAATTGTAGTAGTTCCTTTAGGGTTCTCAGAGATGTTATTGTAGAGAATGATGAGAAAGATTTCATATATTAGCAAGCGTGCTTGATGTTTTACTAGGAGTCTCGCGACCTGGGTTCTTACCTCATTTTAACCACTTAAACATTCAGCATTCAGCAGTGTTAATTGGACATGTTTTGTACAAGGGCTGAGTTAGGTACTAGACATGCAGTGCTGAGCGAATAGATGTTTGTTCCTTCTGTAAAAATTTTATGATTTTGCTGTCGATTCAGAAACACTTTGTACCAAATTCTATACGTGAGGTAGTATTAGTAGATACTTACATGTGAGCTGAAGAGGTGAAATTTTCTTATTTAGAAAAACTAGTGTTTATGATTGAACACAGTATTATGGTTAGGCTCTGACTGTTGGTAAAAAGAATGAATTATTACAGCTTGTATAAAATGGAGTAAGTGGGAGTAAATGGTATAAAATTCACATTTTGAGGAAACCTTGAAATCAGTTATCATCAGATAAAAATCTTTTCAGTGTTACTGTTCTCTTGTCATACTTGCTTTCTGTCTTCTAATTTGAGGCTTGGCACAGGTTTTCCTAGACTCTCGTTGTGGGAATGTGGGAAAAAGTCAAAGACCATGTCAGTCCATCCGTTTGTCTGAAATGCAACATTCTGAGCCTGCCGTGCCTGGGGAACCTTTCCAGCCACCACGTGGGGGCTGTTCGGGGACTCCTTATTCTAGGAGGTCGGTTGGTTGGTTGGTTTTCGTCTCTGCATCTTGGGTTAGAATTAGTCACGTGGGTTCATTGTTTCTGGAGAAATTTTCAAAGTGAATTAGTGTTTGGATAGTCCAGAGTGGTGGTTTTCAAAGTGTGATTTGATCAGCCCTGAGGGTCCCTGAGACCCTTCTAGGGAGTCTGTAAGGTGCAGACTATTTTTGTAATCATACTAAGATGTTATTTGCCTTTTTCACTGTGTTGACACTTGAGGTGGAGGTGGCTGTGCAGAGGCAAGGGTTGGTGCAACTTCTGGCCCCTTAGCATAAATCAAAGCAGTGGCACCAATTTCGATACTCACCGTAATCTTCACCAGCATGCACATGCAGTAAAAAGAATGCCAGTTTCACTTAAGAATGTTCTTGATGAAGCAGTAAAAATGACTGACTGTACAAAGTCTCGTGTCTCTTTTAATAATCTGTCTGATGAACCAGGAAGTGCAAGTAAAGCACTCCTGTTGTTTTCCAAAGTAAAGTGGTTGATTCGAGGGAGACCTTTTTGTAGTTGTTTGAGTTTTGAGCAGAACTGGCTGCTTTTTTCATCAAATATTTTTATTTGAATTTTTAATTTTTATTTAAATAAAATATTTTTATTTGCTGGCAAACTGGTTATTCAGATGTGGGTTTTTAGCAGATACTGCCTCAAAATTAAACACAGTTAAGTCTGTTACTTTGGGGAAAACAATTGATAGTATTTGTTGCCAATGATAAAAATTGAGCTGTCAGGTGAAAATCAGAGGTTTTGAAGACTTGGAACCATCACAGTGAGATCAAGAGCTTCCCAGGACTTTAAAAATGAGATCAGATGGTTATATCAATGAATGTAATTTTTAATATTTTATCATGAAGTTTGTCAATAT